CTTTATGGAAGCTTTTAGTAACATTTTTATGTACAGTGTTAGTCAACCTTCAAAGGCATCTTGTTAGAATGTGTATTGATATATCTGTTTAAATGAATATAAAGAAATGAAGTCATCAAAGTTGTATAGGTAGAAAGTCTAAATTTGAGGTGCACTGGCCAAACATTTTACTTCTTCCATTTTAAGTACTAACCAGGCACGATTTTGCTTAGCTTCTAAGATTACATAGGATTAGACATGTTTAGGGTTGTATGGCCATAAATAAAGTATAATTCTAACAATGCTATACCACATGGCCTGTTTCCATTTTATAATTAGGAGGAATATGTTTGCAGCCAAAATAGTTTTCACAATCCATTCTTCACAATATAAATTTAAAAATTTTGTAAGTATGTATAATAATACTAAGTGTAAGAAAGATAAAACCACAGTGTTGATCATTAGGAAATGGAAATATGGTAATTAAGTTAATTGTAAAACTTAAAATACACAGATAGGGAGATACCTCAGTTGGAAAAGTACTTGCCATGTAAGTAAGTGTGAGGACCTAAGTGTGATCCTAGTTTAAAACAAGCAAACAAAAACTGGACATGGTGGCATGGACTTGTGACTCTACAACCATTGGAATCACACTCAAGGTTGATCACTGGCCACATGCATACATGTGCACAAGCATTTTCACCCATGCATGAAAACACACACGTGTATACATTTTTAAAAATTTTTAAATTAGAAACAAGGTTGCTTCACATGTCAATTCCAGGTCCCTCTCCCTTTCACTCCCCTCCTCCCATGCCCTCCCACCAACCCCTCCAATATCCCCTCATTTCCCCAGGAAGAATGAGACCCTCCATGGGGGTGTTCATAGTCTGTCATTTTATCCAGGGCAGGGCCTAGACCCTCCCCCAAGAGTCCAGGGTGAGAGTGCATCTCTCATTGTTGGATGGGTGCCCAAAGTCTATTTGTATACCCGGGACAAATACTGATCTACTACCCAAGGCTCAATAGATTACCTAGGCCTCCTCACTGACACCCACATTCAGGGGGTCTTGATCAGTCCCATGCTGGATTCCCAGCCATCAGTCTGGGATTCAAGAGATAACCCTTGTCAGGTCAGCTTTTTCTGGGGGTTAAACCAGCCCAATCTTAACCCCTTTGCTCATCAGTCCTCCCTCTCTGTCACTGGATTTCTTGAGTTCAGCTCAGTGTTTAGCTGTGGGAGTCTGCCTCTGCTTCCATCAGTCACTGAATGAAGGTTCTGTTTCCCAGACTCTCTGGCCATGGGATTGTAGGCTGGCACTCTTAGATCTATGTCTAAAATCCATATATGAGAGAATACATGCCGTGTTTCTCTTTTTGTGACTGGATTACCTCGCTCAGGATGGTTTCTTCACTTAGTGCCATCCATTTGCCTGCAAATTTCAGGACTCCATTGTTTTTTTTCTGCTGAATAGTACTCCATTGTGTAAATGTACCACATTTTCTTTATCTACGCTTCAGTTGAGGGGCATCTAGGTTGCTTCCAGAATCTAGCTATTACAAATAATGCTGCTATGAACATACATAGTGGAACATACACCCTTGTTGTATGAATGGACATCTTTTGGATATATGCCTAAGAGTGGAGTTGCTGGGTTTTGTGATAGGTTTATTCCCATTTTTCTGAGGAAATCTCTATACTGATTTCCAAAGTGGCATACGAGTTGGCACTCCTACCAGCAGTGGAGGAGTGTTCCCCTTTCTCCACAACTTCTTCAGCATAAATTGTTGTTGGTGTTTTTGATTTTAGCCATTCTGACAGGAGTGAGATGGTATCTCAGAGTTGTTTTGATTTGCATTTCCTGGATGGCTAAGGATGTTGAGCACTTTCTCAAGTGCCTCTCAGCCATTTTAGACTCCTCTATTGAGAATTCTCTAGTTCTGTAGCCCACTTTTTGATTGGATCCTTTGGTGTTTTGGAGACTTACTTCTTGAGTTCTTTGTAAATTTTGGACATTAGCCCTTTGTCAGATGTGGGGTTAGTGAATATCTTTTCCCATTCTGTGGGCTGCCTTTTTGTCTTGCTGACTGTGTCCTTTGCCTTACAGAAGCTTCTCTGTTTCAGGAGGTCCCATTTATTAATTGTTGATCTCACTGTCTGTGCTACTGGTGTTATGTTCAGGAAGCTGTCTCCTGTACCAATTCGTTCAAGGGTACCACCCACTTTCTCTTCTAAGAGTTTCAGTGTGGCTGGATTTATGGTGAGGCCTTTGATCCATTTGGACTTAAGTTTTGTGCATGGTGATAGACATGGATCTATGCTGCCACATGCCAGCATCCAGTTATACCAGCACCATTTGTTAAATATTCTTTCTTTTTTCCATTGTATATTTTTAGCCTCTTTGTTGAAGATCAGATGTTACTACATGTATGGGTTAATATCAGAGTGTTCAATTTGATTCCATTGGTCTACCTGTCTATTTTTGTGCCAATACCAAGCTGTTTCCAGGACTATAGCTCTGTAATAGAGCTTGAGGTCAGGGATGGTGATGCTTCCAGATGTTGTTTTGTTGAGTAAGGTTGTTTTGCCTATCCTGGGTCTTTTCTTTTTCAATACAAAATAGATTATTGTTCTTTCAAGGTCTGTGAAGAATTGTGCTGGGATTTTAATGGGTATTGCATTGAATCTGTAGATTGCTTTTGGCAGGATTGCCATTTTTTACTACATTAATCCTACCTATCCAAGAGCATGGGAGATCTTTCCATTTTCTGAGGGCTTCTTTAATTTCTTTCTTTAAAGACTCTTGTGATACAGGTCTTTCACTTGTTTGGTTAGCATTACCCCAAGGTATTTTATGTTGTTTGTGGCAATTGTAAAGGGTGATGTTTCTCTGATTTCTTTCTCAGCTCTTTTATCATCTATATATAGTAGGGCTACTGATTTTCTTGAGTTGATCTTGTAGCCTGCCACTTTGCTGAAGGTGTTAATCAGCTGTAAGAGTTCCCTGGTAGAGTACTTTGTGCCATTTATATAAACTATCATATCATCTGCAAATAGTGAAAGTTTGACCACTTCCTTCCCAATTTGTATCCCCTTGATCTCCTTTTGTTGTCATATGGCTCTAGCTAGAACTTCAAGTACAATATTGAAAAGGTATGGAGAGAGTGGACAGCCTTGTTTTGTTCCTGATGTTAGCAGAATTGCATTGAGTTTCTGTCCATTTAGTTTGATGCTGGCTATTGGTTTGCTGTATATAGCTTTTATTAGGTTTAGATATGTTCCTGTTATCCCAGATCTCTCCAAGACCTTTATCATGAAGGGGTGTTGGATTTTGTCAAAGGCTTTTTCTGCATCTAGTGAGATGATCATGTGATTTTTGTTTTTCAGCTTGTTTATATGGTGGATTACATTGATGGTTTTTCTTATGTTGAACCATCCCTGCATCCTTGGGATGAAACCTACTTGATGGTGGTGAATGATTGTTTTGATGTGTTCTTGGATCCAATTTGCCAGTATTTTATTGAGTATTTTTGCATCACTGTTCATGAGGGATATTGGTCTGAAGTTCTCTTTCTTAGTTGTGTCTTTGTGTGGCTTGGGGATCAAGGTTATTGAAGCCTCATAGTAAGAGTTTGGCAAAGACCCTTTTGCCTCTATTGTGCGGAATACTTTGAGACGAATTGGTATAAACTGCTCTTTAAATTTCTGGTAGAATTCTGCACTGAGGCCATCTGGACCTGGGCTTTTTTTGGTTGGGAGACTTTTGATGATTGGTTCTATTTCCATAGGGGTTATAGGTCTATTTAAATTGCTTATCTGTTCTTGATTTAATAGCTATCCAGAAAATTGTCCATTTCCTTTAAATTTTCGAATTTTGTGGAGCACAGGTTTTCAAAGTATGACCTGATTATTCTCTGAATTTCCTCAGAGTCCGTTGTTGTGTCCCCCTTTTCATTTCTGATTTTGTTAATTTGCATGTTCACTCTCTGCTGTTTGGTAAGTTCAGACAAAGGTTTGTGGATCTTGTTGATTTTCTCAAAGAACCAACTCTTTGTTGCATTGATTCTTTGTATTGTTTGCCTAGTTTCTACTCCCCTGGACCCGCTGGTCCCCTGTCTGGTCCCACTGGTCCCCTGGTCTCGTTGGTGGAAGAGAAGACCTGGGATCTGGGGTGCTTGGCTCCTGCCGGGATGGGAAGCTCTGTCGCAGTCCCCAGGCAATCCTCAGGCACTAGAACCGTGTATGCATTTTTGTATAGGATGCTGAAGAAACGCTGCGGCTCTTTTGCTTTAGTTCCTGTCCACCCAACTAATAAAAGTGTTTTACGCTGATGCTAACTGGATATTACATTAAGGACCTGTTTCTATCTGGTAACTTTTAATAGATTCAGATGGGCTGATTTTGAAGGCTTTGTTTCTGGAAACTCGAAGATTTCTGAGAAAGTGAACAATATTGGCACCACATCATGGGTATTTCACAAGTGTGATATTTATACTCACAGAAAAAATTCATTTGGTCTATATGACAGAATGATTTAAAACTCTGGCTGTGTAGAGCGAATTCATTGATAAAAGTGTATTTTGCTACTTTGTTGCTTTCTTTTTATCTAACACTCACTTCTTTTTTTTTTTTTTATGAGACAGGATTTCTCTATATTGTCCAGCCCGGCCTCGAACTCACAGAGATCTGCCTGCCTCTGCCATCTGAGTGCTGGGATTAAAGGCGTGTGCCACCACCGCCCAGCCCCTAGCACTCACTTCTGTTTTCACATTTTTTCTTTATTCCTCTTTCTTTGGATCCCTTTCTCCCTCTTAGATCATCTAAAGGTACTGCTTAATTTATGAATAACTTGAAAAACGGTTTTCCAGTTTTTACTGTAGGGAAGAGCTCTGGGGCACACCCTAAAGGGGAGTAATGACGGTTAGTCAGACACACTGTCCTTGACTTCATGCGATTCAAAGAAATGCTCCCCCAAATCCTGGAGCTGTGCTGGGCTTACAGTTATTTGACTTTGTTTTAGGCATTTTACCATGAATGAGGAGAACGCCGATGGGACAAATGGATGCGGTAAAGTGCGCACTGGCACTCAGAATGAAGCCGCATTGCTGGCTCTGATGGAAAAGACTGGCTACAACATGGTTCAAGAAAACGGGCAGAGGAAGTTTGGTGGTCCTCCTCCAGGTGGGGTTTGCTTCTGTGCCTTTAAACGAAACCATCAGCATAGCCATTTAGATCAGGCACGTTTTCTCACAAACATCCCAGCCAGTCTCAGCTGTGGTTTTGAAAGAAATTACGCATTTATTTTAAACCTTGTTCTTATTTAAAAAGTAATTGAAAAATAACGTGGTTTAGCTGAGAACTAAATCAGGATTTAGGGTGTCAGGGAAAATTACACTCAAGGCATTAAAGACAATTCATTTGGGGAAGAATTTGAAAGAGCAGTGAGTACAGGCGTAGTACCTAAGTAGCCCGATTCAAATAGGCATGGTATCGTAACCATTCTAACTGCATTTCTTTGCTCAGAATCTCCAAATGATTAAATAAAATTCTGACTTCTAGTCCTCAGTTGTTGCATTATTTGCTACTGTTCTCCATCTAGTAAGCTTTAGGCAAGAAGGCATCTGTTTTCTATTGATTTCTCCTCTCCCAGATGTGACTATATTTTCCTCACAGCATTTTATCATCTACACATTTTCTCCTAGAGTTTTGGTAGAATAAGTTTTACAATGGAAGGAACTTTATTTTTTGTATTCCTGACACTTAGGATACTGCTTCCCATACAGGTGGCTGGTAGCCAATTTGTCGAACAAGTAAATGACTCAGTTATGAATGTAGCTTTTTAGAATTTAATTTTTAGTTGTGTTTATCTTCATTTTCTCAGGTTGGGAAGGTCCACCTCCCCCTAGAGGCTGTGAAGTTTTTGTTGGAAAAATACCTCGTGATATGTATGAAGATGAATTGGTTCCTGTATTTGAAAGAGCTGGGAAGATATATGAATTTCGACTGATGATGGAATTTAGTGGTGAAAATAGAGGTTATGCTTTTGTGATGTACACTACTAAAGAAGAAGCCCAGTTAGCCATCCGGATTCTTAACAATTATGAGATTCGACCAGGGAAGTTTATTGGTGTATGTGTAAGCTTGGATAATTGCAGATTATTTATTGGAGCAATTCCCAAAGAGAAGAAAAAGGAAGAAATTTTGGATGAAATGAAGAAAGTTACAGAAGGTGTTGTAGACGTGATTGTTTATCCAAGTGCAACTGACAAAACCAAGAACCGTGGCTTTGCGTTTGTTGAGTATGAGTCCCACAGAGCTGCTGCAATGGCCAGGAGAAAGCTGATTCCAGGTAAGATAGCCCTTTCAAAGGTTACTTTACATATTAACCGCATTATAAATATGGAAAAACAACAGTAAGTGATAGTAAGATATAATGTCACTTGAGGAATATGTTTTAACCAGGAAGTAATGACCATAAGGTACAAGGAATTGTTCCTACAAGTTACATTTGCTAATTACTGAATGCATATATACTTTAACTGATACCTTAATGTGTATATAACTTTAACTTTATTAATTATGTTTAATCAAAATCCAGAATGAATTACTTAATTCTAACAGTAATCAATCTTTGAAGTCTTGTTTGTCTTACCAACTCTTAAATTTTGTTGTAAGTTCTGATTAAGTTTGTTTTAATAAAAACTTTGGTGTGAGTAGGCACAAGGGGCTAATCAGATATATTGATACATGCTTGAGTTTCTTTGAGAAATTATTGTAGCTCTTTAAACTTGTATTCTTTAGTTAATTTCAAATCAGTTTATGCATTTTTTTCAGGAACGTTTCAACTCTGGGGCCACACCATTCAGGTCGACTGGGCTGATCCAGAGAAAGAAGTTGATGAGGAAACCATGCAAAGAGTGAAAGTTCTCTATGTAAGAAATCTAATGATCTCAACTACAGAGGAAACAATTAAAGCAGAATTCAATAAATTCAAGCCTGGTGCAGTGGAGCGAGTAAAGAAACTTCGAGATTATGCATTTGTTCACTTTTTCAACCGAGAAGATGCAGTGGCTGCTATGTCTGTTATGAATGGAAAATGCATTGATGGGGCCAGCATTGAGGTAACACTGGCAAAGCCAGTGAATAAAGAAAATACTTGGCGGCAGCATCTTAATGGCCAGATCAGCCCAAATTCTGAAAACCTGCTTGTATATGCTAACAAAGAAGAGAGTCACTCCAAAGCTCTAGGCAAGCCGCCAACTCTTCCTACTCGTCTCAACGGTCAGCATAGTCCAAGCCCCCCTGAAATTGAAAGATGTACTTATCCTTTTTTTCCTGGAACAAAGCTTACCCCAATTAGTATGTATTCTTTAAAATCCAATCATTTCAATTCTGCAGTGATGCATTTGGATTATTACTGCAACAAAAATAATTGGGCACCACCAGAATATTATTTATATTCAACAACCAGTCAGGATGGAAAAGTACTCTTGGTATATAAGATAGTTATTCCTGCGATTGCAAACGGATCCCAGAGTTACTTCATGCCAGATAAACTCTGCACTACACTGGAAGATGCAAAGGAGCTGGCGGCCCAGTTCACGCTGCTTCATCTGGGTAAGTTTAGGAGTGTTTGACATATTGACATCAGGGAATACTGTGGTAGATTACAGTCGCTGATTTGAACTATGAACATTATTAGTGAGTCTTTACATTTTTTTCTCAGTTCTCTGAGACCAGAGCAGGAGGACCACAAGTTCAAAGCTCATAATTAATTTCTTTGAGACTTGGCTCTTGTATAATTTTCCTACATTTTGATTTTCAAGTACTACTTACTGAGAGGGAAGGTGAGCTTTGGTTACAGAGTTTAGGCACCATTATGTTACTTTATTTTTTGTTAATGACTAATCATCATTTGATAAAAATTTTGTTGTATGTTACAGAATTTGTTATATGAATCAATTTTGGTGAGGTTGGCACATGAACGCTTACTGGGAAAGGCTAGAAATTCATAAAAATCACAGATGTTTCGTGTGGGTCATGTATAGAGATGGCTTTATGCTCACCAATCTGGAAATTTGTCATTATGACTCATGAAAGGCAAAATGCATCACTAAGAGATGTTGATGACAATTCTCTTTTCAAATTTCTTTTTAAAGAACCATTTTTCTTAAATGTTGGAGGGCTGACTAAGACTCAGGATATATAAAATATGCTTGCTTTATACTCTAAAGAAAAAAGATATTATAACTCTCTGCAGTTGTCCTTACTTGTATTATGTTTATAGCATACTTTTATGGAGACGAAGGTTTGTCCATCTAGTTGCCACATAGAGGTACGATTCTCCATGAAGTCAGAAGCTCTTCATTAGCTTTCAACTCTCCTCTGAGGAGCTTTTAAATTCAGCCTTGGGCTATAGTACGCCATTAATGATCTAAGAAAAGGCAGAGTATTCCTGATTTGTTGTGTTTAGGAATAAAATTAGCTGTCTTAGTTATGGTTTCTGTTGCTCAGATAAAATACTAAAGTCAAAGTGACTTTGGGGAGGAAAGGGTTTATATGGATTGCACTTCCATATCACAGTCCATTGAAGGAAGTTAGTGCAGGAATACAAGCAGGAACCTGGAGGCAAGAGGCCGTGAAGGGATGCTGTTTACATCTCTGTCTCCAGTGGATTTCTCAGTCTGTTTTCTTAGAGCACCTGGCACTGCCAGCTGGGCCCTCCCACATCAGTCATTCAGGAAAGCGCACCACTTTCCCACAGGCCAGTTTGGAGGGACATTTTCTCAACTGAGAATTTCCTTTTCTGTCATGAGTTTAGCCTGTATCAAGTGGATATAAAATTAACCAGCACTCTGGCCATTTGTGTCCAACCTGTCACATTTTGATACCCTATTGCCATCTACAAATTCACACTTGGGAACTGCACAATTGAGGTTAAAAGCTGCAAAACAATTTTCAGGGTTTAGACTCAAGTTTACAGTTTTGTGTTCAGCTACATTGGTAGCAACACTGAGGCGTATGCATCCCACATGCCACAGATTAGACAGCTGCTAGAGTGTGCATGCCAGGGGCTTCAGTCGCTTAGTTTGCATTTTACCAGTCTTGTGTCAGAACTTTTAATTTAAAAATATGAAAGTTTGTATTTTTATATATTTTTCTTGTTTCTGTTCATCACTAGGGAGAAGAGTTAAGCGTATAACTATTAAAAGAAATTTTACTGAGATGTAGACTTAGCAGGCACATGGCCCTGTATTAAATCCTCAGGCTTTCCAAAAAAATTCCAGTGAGCACTGGAACATATCAAGGCACAGTAACCAGGTCTGAGGCTGCAAGTAGGGAATGCAATGCAATGCTTATTGTGCTTGACTGAAGTATAAATGCAGGCTGTTTAAAATACTGTCGAGGCAGGTGAAGAACAGTTGAGAATGGAAGTGGAAATTTACCAGGGATCAAAAAGCCTTGGTCAGAAAGCACATGTGAGACCTTCATTAAAGGTCTTAGAGTGGGGTTGGAAATGTGTGTAGAGTAGGGTTAGGAAATTGTGTAGAAACGAGGTGCTGTGTACCATGTGGCAGTTAAGCAGCAGTGTTGTGGCTTGATCTTTCCTTCAGTGATGTTGGATCCTCAATGGCAGATCTTAAAGGGCTGATGTCTTCCTTTCCAGCACAGCTTCCCCTTGGGTAAAAAGGGAAGTATTTTATGCCATAGTTGAGGCTTGGGGCTAGTTCGTGGCAGTGATGTGTCCTAGAGAGATGTTAGTGAGGTGTCATGTGACATGTGCTCTGATATTCTTTGCAGTCTATGTAGTACTGTTTTTTCTCTTGAGTTTTTTTTTTGAAATTGTTACTGAATCTTAAGTGTTTCAAATAGAGTTTTTTTCTATATTAATACATCTTTTGGTTCTATTTTTTAAAAAAGCATTTTAGAAATACTTTTGCAAATAGTGTGAGTAAAAGATACTTTCTTTGGATATAGTAATTTTTCTTAAAATTTGCTTTGATACTACTTTTAACCCTGCCAATTAGTGCTTTTGTTCAGTCATAGTTATCTAATTTTATCTTTTTTTTAAATGACATTGCTAAGCCATGTATTTATCTTCAAGCTAAACCCAGTCTGACCTGGTGAGCTTTGACAGTCTTATATGTGGTATCTTGGATTTGCTGGCCCTGTTTTTCAAATTTGAAAACTTGGATGGGAACTAAGAGATGCTATGTGTTTCAATCATATTTATTGCAAAGAAAAGATGCAGTTCTTTAGGGATAGTAGATGTCTGAATGAGTATTTAGAAGCCAACTAGTCACTTCAAGTGACTCGATCTGAAGACTCTTGCAGTGATTTTACAATGTGTACGTTCTGTCCCTTCTAAAGCAAGCTCTCTTCTGATTAAAGTGCCTTTAGTAGAGAGAAGGCCAAAAGAGGGTTAAGGGTTAGTCTCTAATACAACCCTTTTTATTTTCACTTCAGAATTAGAGCCTATTTCAATCTTCATGTCAGAATAACCTTCCTCATCTCAGTCATCCAATGGAATAAGCAATAATGCATGCATTTACTTATTTTTGGAAATACAATGCTTACTTTTAAAAAGTAAAAATATTTTCATTTTATTTCCTGTGAAGTAAGTATAATATATTCAGTGAGCTTACCTATTTATATACCTTGGTTTCTGAGACAGGATCTTCCCCTATTAGCTCAAACTGGCCTTGAAATTAATGAGTTTAATGAGTCAGATGCAGATGTTAGGATCACAACTCCTATACTTAATGTTTGGTTAGTGGAGACATTTGAGTTTATTGAGTATCACTTCTTTTTAAATGTGACTCTATTTTGAACATGGGTCTGTCAGTATTGCCATTGCTTTTCTGGGTGATTATGCTGTTTCAAAAAATATGCTGGAATATAAGGCTATGGAAGAGAGAGAGTCTTCCTCTGTTGATATGAATTGACCTTATCAAGTAATATATTAAGATCACGCCAAACATGGTATGTCTTTCCGCTTTCACTGATAACCGTGGCAGGGCTTTGTTTTTCTTGTATGACCTCTTGGTCTTGTTAAAAACAGGGATGAGAGTCTCCGTTCCAGATAGTTTTGGGAAGGTTTGCTTGGTGATTTCTGGCAGACTTTAGAGGAATTGAGGAAATAAAAAAGATGTGTCATTAGTTAATTGGACATTGGTTAGTTTTTCTGTTTGAAACTGTTTTACCTGATTTATGTGTTGCTTTTTTGGTCATGACCAGTGAAGTTTACATTCTAGAACAGTCCTAATGAATGTTCCCTATGTGCTGAGTATATGTTTTCAAGCATTTGGGAGTTAAAGATAACTAACATTGTTTGTTTCTTTCTTTGAGAGGTCAGAGTGCAGTGAAGAAGATAGATGCATAAATTCTATTCATATGCTATTTGGGGAAAAAGGGAAGGGTTCTGCTTATGCCCTTCTTGTAATTGTTAAGAAGAGTTTCTGAGCAGAGCAAGGAGCCTCCAAATGAACAGGCATCTTTTAGAAAAGTAGTATAGGCATGGGTTAATGGCAGGTAAACTTCATAAGGTTTGCTTTAATGATTTCTGATGGGTTTAAAGAAGAATTGAAGAAATTGAGATGTGGCTTTAGTTAATTGAACTTTCATTCATCTTTCTGTTTAAAACAATTTACAATATGGTTTTCTTGGCTGTACTTGCTTTTCTTCTGAGCAAGGATTTTTCTAGCTAATTCTAGTTTGTAGAAACATTTTATGTGTCAGTGTTCATGTTTTCAATGCTACTGCTTTACTGCTTTTCTCAGTATTTAATCTACAGTGGATATTTATTGTATCTTGTATTTGATTTGAAATGACACATGGGACTTTGTTATTTTTTCTAATTGTTCAATGGGATTTTGTAAATATTTTATTTTCTATCCTCATGTGTAGGTTTTGATTTCTCAGTGTCACACAAATTTAGTTAGATGCTGAGGGAAGAAAGTGTCACTGCTGTGAGTTTTTTTTTTAATCTGAAAGATAATTGGTGCTTTTTTTCTCATGAGCTATTATTTCCAGATTGATGGGCAAAATATAAGATATAAACTGGATTTTAGATTTAAAAGTTTGTCAATAAATTGTTTTGAAATAGAAAACCTTTAGTTTTTTATTAAAATACTTTTATTAGATATTTAAGCTAAATATAAAATAATGGTTATGTTACAACAGAACTTTTCATTATAAATAGAAGAAAATACTTTCAGAATGTATTCCTTCTAGATTTACGTAGAGATCTTTCATACTATCTCAAGATGATACTTAAAAGAATAAAATAGTTGAATTTGTTTTAAAATTCACCCAAATAAGAAGTAGCCATCAGTTTTAACATTTTCAGTTTTAACATTTGACACAATTCACTTTCACATGACCAAATGATAAGACCAAAATTCCATTAACTCAACTATGTGTCTTTGACCCTTGAATAGGGACTAGTTCTTTTGAAATTTATTTATATATTGTAATTGAAAAATTTCCTTTTATTTAAGATTCGTTGATGACCTCACACTCATCATAATTCTCATCTTGATGGCACGTATTTTAATTATGGGCCACAAGTACTATGCATTTAATGTGAATGAAGCAGCTTAATGAAGGGCTAAAAC